AGCAGGAAGTAGAGCTCTGGAACGTTAGTGTGTTTGGGCAGCAGCGTCTGCAGCACTGGGAATCCTGGGAAGTGACAGGCATCCCGGTTGATTTCTCGCAGTGTGGAGCGTCCGCCGGCACTGCGTCCCACATTGAAACCTGCTCAAGGCCAAGATGAGGGAGATATGAAAACGTCAGAGTAGAGCATACAAGAGCAGAGAGATTTCAATACAGCAGTAGGTTAAATCAGTAAATGGAAAACAATAGGGACACGAAGACTCTGACAACAAAAAATTTCTTTTACATACAGCCTCCATCCTACACTCACCCAGCACGGTACCAATCTTATTGGTCAGTACAGCATCAGTGTGGTCCAGCCAGCCACCACCACAGACTCCCTCTTTAAACCGGTTGAGGATGGACTGGTTGGACAGAAGAACCACCATGATCCACAGAGCCACTGTCACGGTACTGGGATGGAGATGCTCCTCCATAAACATCAAAAGCCAATCAAAGCCCAGAGTACGAACAAGCTCTTCACACGCCCTGCAGGAGGAGACAAAGAGGAAGTTAACTCAAACCATAAACGAATGTTTGGACAATGATTGATGTAAAGACATTGTTTTATTAACTAACTCACTGAGTGTTGACGCTGCTGACACCTCCACTGCCATTTTTTTCTTTGCTGGTGAAGAGCAGAAGCAGCAGATTCTCTAACAGTCGGTTTCTTAGCAAAATCAAGTTGGCAGAAAAAAGACCTCCAAAGTCTTCATCGTTTCCTGCAGGGAGGACAAACTCTGTTATTGCAGTGACATCTCACCTCTACAACTATTTTTTGTGCAGTCAATAGAAGAAGTTCTATGTCTATTTTTACCCCCGTCGATCTTCTCTTCATTGTTAATTTCCATCACCACAAACTTCTCACAGACAGCGAATGTGGGAAGAGTGGAGGAGATGAACTGACCAAACCTGAGAGTTGATGACAGTCAGTGCAGGTGAGTGCGTGACAGCACTAAAAACCATACACAGTTAAAGACAGTAACATGAGAGTGTACCTGAGCAGGTCGTGCACGTTGGTGAAGCCCTGCAGAAGTAGACTCAACACATTGCTGATGGCAGCGACCGTCTGCTGCGACAACGTGGTGTCTCTCAGTGTCAGCAGCAATCGTGGAATCAGCTGAAATTCTCGCAGCAGTTTGGCATTTTTTGCTGCCTCGCTGAAAAAAAAAGTAAGGTTAGGACCATGAAATCACAAAACAGACAAAAATCACCATTGATATAGAAGAGAATGGTAGACTGACCTGGACTCAGTCAGCAGCTCAATAAAGTGCTCAAACAGAGACAGGTGCAGCTCGTAGGGAGCGTGGAGCCAAACCTGAGGAGACAAACACATGCATGTTAAATAAATGCTTGAGTAAAATAACAAACAACAGACTTACATTTTTATTGTTCCTCTACCTCAAAGTCACAGAGCAGGTCCTGGAAGGCAGTACAGTTGGGGATGATGGATGTCTCATGGCCACTGTCCACCGTCCCCACCAGTGAGAACGTCAGGTGGAGGATGTGGCTGTTGAGCAGCGAGCGTTTCTTCTTTAGAAGCATGGCCAGTAGCTGTATGAATTAGAAGAAATGGAAACATGTCAGAGATGAACAGAACAGAACAGAAAGTAAAAAAATGAAAACAGGAAGTGACTAAATATTTGCCTGACCTGGTAACCTTTGATGCGCTCCATCTCCTTACTGGCCAGCGGATTGCTTTTGACAACACAGACCAGAGCTTTGACTGCTGCATACAGACCCTCCACATCAGATGCCATGGCGACCAGACCCAAAATGGCCGCTGCCCCACCTACAAACTGCAGGTTTGTGGCCACAGGTCTGGGTATGAAGGTTCGCACACCTAAACAGGAAGAGAAGACATCACAATTGACTGTCATACAGAGGTCTGAAGTGATGGCATGGTGGTCTAAGATCTAAGAATATCACAAATATTTACCCAAGTATCCAACCACTGCTGCTCCAATCGTGCGGGCAGGACCATTGAGGTGACCTGCAGCGTTATGGATCAGCTTCACAGGAGTAGCGTTTTCATGAGATGACACAGCCAACTAAAAATGGAAAGAGGAGAAGGAGAGATTTTTTTAAATGTAAAGTCAAATGCTTTAGAATACACCTGGGCAATATATACTAAAAATGTGGTAAAAAAAGATAGAGAAAAAGCTAACAAAAATAGCCTTATAATGAGAAAAATAGACCAAAAGATAACTAAGCCAAAACATAACTGAAAATTAGCCAAGGAAAAGCAGCATAAATATTAGCCCAAAACACTAATATTATGGTTTTATAACAATTCAAACATTATATATTAATTAGGTAAGTTAGATCCCTGAAATAAAAAATAGGATAACATGACCAAGAAATTTAAATTTTTTCACATTTTCCTTCCAACATTTTCTTTTTGGAATGTTTGAAATGTGTATCTAGAGACATATGACAGCATCTCTGAGGACAACTAGCAGCTGTACCAACAGGGTTTCTCACCTGTTTGGCGATGGCTTTACTGTCCAGTTTGTTGTAGTTCTTGCGGATCTTAGCTACAGTCAGTGTGGATGCAGAGACAGCGTATAGACTGAAAGACACCTTCTCCTCAGCAACCAATGCAACTGGAGATGCTGGAACTGCTTCAACCTTCGAATCTTTACCTGAAACGATAAACAGAGTGAAGAAGTGCTGCCACAGGAGAGAGAAAAGACAGGTTGATGCCAAAAGCAGTGATGCCATCACTCACAGGGCAAGTACACCGCTTGGAAACTGCCCACATAGTTTGGTCCGAATTCGTAGATGGCCGCTACGCTGGAGGCGGGCAGAACTTCCTCCAGGAAATGGGTGGGGCCCAGACGCCAGACCAAACTAGAGATTTGTCTCTGGGCTGGTGGAGTTCCCACATAACCATAAACAGTACTGACCACCGGAGGGTTAGTAGAACCAGAACCCCCAGGTGAACTATGGATGTAGTGTAACTAGAGGTAAGGGGGGTTAGAGAGAGAGAGAGAGAGAGAGAGAGAGAGCGAAGAAATAAAAAATAAATTAGTATTTAGTGTAAAAGTTAATGTCACCTGGAACATTTCTTGAGTCTGTTACATTGTCATGAGTTTTCTTTTGTACCTTGACAGTGTTGACCAATTGACCATCGATGTACAGTGAGACCATGCTATTCTTCAACATGCCTTTGCTCATCACCAACAGCAAGTGATGCCACTGACCCTCGGAGATGAGCTCACCACAGCGGAAACGAGCGCAGCATGGAAGAAGCTCGTAAAAGGCAGACTCCTCACTTGACTCGTCCGCTGGAACCACAAAAATAAAATACAACAGATTAGCTGGGTGTAGAGTAAAAAAAACATGACCTCTGCCAATACCTTCCTAAAATTCAGATACATTTACAGAATGTGTGGCAGAGTTGTGTTCATTTAAAAAGATGCGGTCTCAGCAGAGACTCACAGTAGGTCTGCAGAAGCTCCTCTTTGGTGGAGACACTCAAGGTCCGGTCTTTACAGGACAGAACGACAGACAGGCAGACGTAGTGCTGCTCTGAGGAAGAGGCTCGACGGACCACGGTGAGAAGACGCAGGGGGTGAGCATGGGGCACAGAGCTGAAACGCTCAACACAGAACCAAGTGGAGTAGCTGAGTCCAGATGGTGGAGGAAACAAGCGCTCCCCTGCAGCAGAAGAAGAAAGAGTTTGAAAGGTTTGTCCAATGTGCAGATTTGTGCACGTGAGCAGAGAAATCTGTGATCATAGGGAGTACCCTAACTCACCTGATCCCATCCCACTGAGCACAGCTCCTTCAGCAACAGCAGAGGTGGTGGCGGAGCTGGAGGGGTTGTTGTGTGGAGGAGCCACGCTGGGCAGGAAGAGACAACTGGGGGACAACAACCAAAATTCACATTGTGTAAAACAATAAAATAAAATAAACATAGCTGCCACCACACACACACAGTTGACATGTTATATTATTGTCTGAAGGAAATCCTGCTGTCTCAACCACCTTTTGATTTATTATTGTGTTTACAACAAATTGTTACCTAACTGAACCCAGTGTTTTATAGTTTGCATTCATAATGCACACATCTCTGAAAATCACTGTGATGTAAAAAAAAAAATTCATTTAAAGGTTGTGATACAACTGGATGTAGACTTTTTAATCGTCTTTCAGCCTTTTTCCTCACAGCAGCAGCAGCAGCATCATTAATTTTTCAGCTAGACAGATGGGTGGTATCTGCCAGTATGTGACTCTAAAAGTAGAGCACACACTGCAGTGTTGCAGCAGGAACTCCATGTTATATTCAGATGCTATGACTCAGTGATGAACAGGTAGGTGGAGCTGAACTGATCATCATACTGATAAGTTGCGTGGTTCCAGTAGCTCCCAGTTTTAAGATGGATTCTCTCCAGTGTGATTTTGTTTTACTCTCTTTCTCACATTGATTTCAAATTAGTCTGCATTTCTAAACCTTCTCCAATAAGTCATATTTTATGTTTTTATTTTAGAACTGTGCTTTTACAGCTTCTGAACACATTAACAGAATATTTTAAAAACTCACCCAAAACCTTCCAGTGAGGTGTCAAACTCAATAAAGGCAGGTGTGACCGCTGAGCCATGCAGGCGGATGTGATGGGGCGTTGTCATGGAGACTAGACACTTGACCCTGGTCAATGGCACAGTGCTGCCCTCTGCTGAGCGCACAAGGCTGCGGCTGATCCTGTACTGACCATTCTCCTCTGCTGGCGTAGCAAACACACTATCGGCACCAAAGCCCTCCGTGGACATGGTCATGCTGCCTGTGACATCACACAGAAACAGGGACACAGTCTATCAGTGCAGTGTCACCAACACATCATAATTCATCAGGATTTCACTGTTTTTTATATAATAAAAACAGCAATTAATCAGTTTTATCAATTACAATGTATGAAAATCTTAGAGAATTTATAGAATAGCATAACAGTTTGTCAAATATATAGAAAAATGCTTTTAAAAATTTAGGAAAATATAGTAAAACACAAAACCTTTCATGTTTAGGTGTGACCAACTTCTAATACTCAAAAATGTGAATATGACAGAACACACAAGTAGCTAAAAGCTAGAAAATAATTAGTTGGTCACAAAGCTAACACATTGCCAGATATTTTTAAGATTGACCAAGAATATCGAAATAAACATCAAAGCTCATAATAATAGTCTATAAGAGAGTTGAAACATTTAGGAATTGTGTTAGAACTGTCCAAACAGATTGTTAAACAGTGTCCGGGTCTTTACTTCTCATCTCGCTGTCGTAGCTCACTGAACTGGGTTTGTGAACTCTGTACTGTTTCAGCAGCTTCTTATCCCAGGCTCCACAATTAAGAGGGTTTCCCAGACGCACAAACTCCCTACGGATGAAATGGATAAAATGTTACTGAGAGGAGGAAAACATCCATAAAGGCACAAATATAAGAATTTAATTTTTTTTAAATGTCAAACTCACTTGGAAAAAGTAAATATGTATGAAATGTGTGTGAATCATAAGAGAACTATATACATTTTTTTAAAGATTAACATTACATTGTACTATTCTTATATTTATATGTAAAACCTTTTGATACTGTTTCAATTTTACCTTGATGATTAAACCCTTTTTACTAAAATATAATTATCGATAAATTTACCTTCTGGTAATTTGACTGATGGTTTGACCTAATGTTTAATCCTTTTTTTTTTCAAAAATAAACCACCCTACAATCAAACTCAGGAAAAGTAGACTGTGGGTGTGTGTTTTATTTTCCTTTTTGAAAGTGGTCCAATAGAATCTCCACTGTTGGTCTCCGTGACTGAAATGCTTCCTGTTTGTCTGTTGGAGTTAGCTGGCATACCTAAGAACCATGGGCTGCAGTGCTTGTGAGGCCAGCCTCTCAAACATCCTCTGTAGCGGTGGATGCAGTGGATGCTCCTCATCGCTCAAAGCGTGGCTGCAGCGCTGCAGCAGCCTCTGGTGCAGACTAGCATCACACAGAAGCTGCTGGTTTCTCTCACTGTTCACCAGCAGCTGCAGAATGTTGGCCACAGCTAGCTGTAGGTCCAGAGCATGCTAAGGAATGCACAGAGGGTGGAGTTTAGAATCCATTGAAACGCCAAATTATACGGCATACATGAGTCCCCTGACCTAGTTCCCTCACCTCAGGTTGGCTGTCGGAGCAGACGGAGGGCAGCAGATCCAGCATGGCCAGAACTGCCCCCGGGTGGATGACCACTAGCTCTGATGAAGAGGAGGAACCAGCAATGTGGATGGGGTTAGACAGGTGTAGTTTTAGGTCAGTCAGAGCTTTGACGGGGGCAGGTGGGCCAGATGTTCCATAGTATCCATGTCTAAGAAAACAAGAAGAGGTCAGTTGGCCTACTTTACTCCACAGAAGTGTCACTATTTAGAGTCAATGGCCCACAAACTAATGAAGGCTGCTGCCAAAAGAGGCTGTTACCTGGTTTAACTCACCCCCTATCATTAAGGACAAATGTAGTATTCTGTAACTTTCCTTATTAAACTTTTTCAGATTTAATTACTTGACACAAATTGACCACAGGAGGCAGCAGTAGACCAGCAGCTTATTTATCACAGTGTGCTTAATTCCCAAATTGTCTCTACAGACGTTTTGTGGAAGAGAAAGTGATTCATAAACATCTGTTTCCGATTGAGGTCTGCCTTACAATAAGATAAAAATTCCAAAATGTATTTTAGATTCCAGCTGACCTAGATGTTTCATTTTTTGTGAAGATCATGTGTCTGGGTTTTGACGCAGTCAAGTCACAGGAAAGGGAAGCAGTAGGAAAAAGGAAGAAAGAATGAGGACAAAGGAGACAGAAAGCTTTAGCTACCTCTTCCTGGTGAGGGCTGGTGTGCCCCACGGTGAGGGCAGTGAGGTCTCGTGAGTCAGACAGGGAGGGATCTGCTCTGCACGACTGTGCATGCACACATGCACGCGCGTACATACACACAGAGCCAGACAGGTGGAGCAGTCAGACAGTGTCAAGTGTTAAAGGAATAGGAAAGAAGGAAAAAGAGACAATAAGAAGTTGTTGTTAATCTAGAGACAGAAACAGGATCGGAGAAACATGAACAATTTAAGATACAGAATGAAGATTTGCCAGGTCAATTGCATGACCATTTTAAGTAATTTTACTGGCTGTGTCCATTCAACACCCCAGTAAACATTATAGAAACTGTTGCCACTTTATTAATGATATTTTGACTTTCTGCACCAATCAGTGAATTTGGTCATTTGAGTATTACTAGACATAGTTACATGTTTATAAATGTCTAAAAGTTGTGTTACTAGAAAATTAAACTAACATATTGTGTTGATGACATATATTTTAAAAACTTTTGTGACCTTTCGTGGCAGTTTTTAAGTAAGTTTTTACCATGACCTTATGCACTTTTTTTTTGCTAAGTACATTATTGTTGTTGGTAACAAAATTGTTATTTTGTAACATATATTCAACACATTTGGTTTAATTATAAAAATAACAGGGTTTTCCATATGTTTTTTTGGAGCTAAAGACCAATTCTTCAACTTTTTCAACTGAGCTGAATTTTAATGCAGCAATAGACATACGAAACAGAAGCTAGAAGCTGTTCTCTGCTTATACCTCAACAACTACCATCAAAGCAGACTTTTCTGAGGAAAGGTCACTACTGGTCAGGCATGTGTATGTGTGAGTCTCACATGACTGAGAAGCTGCTGAGTTCACAGACAAACAAGTTTTGTTCACTACAGCACTGATTGAGCAAACGTGTGAAAACGTGAATCACAGTTTTGTCATGTTGAACATTTTTGGTCTAAATCAGTTTCATCATCTTTTTCTAACACTGTAAAATACAATGATTTTTGTTGTCGTGGGAAAGTAAAAAGAAAAAACCATTAATATGGTAAATTACATATTAATTGCCCTTAGTTTCTGGTCTTAGTTCTTCAGACTGACCTGTCAAATGAGTCAGTGGCCATTTTGTACATGTAGATAAAAAGTTTGCTGCAGCTTTTAAGTGTGGGACAGACGCTGTCTCCTGCACAACCACCAGGGGCACAATCATCCTCAAGCAACCTCTGGAAGGGCTGCGCATTTGATGGAAAGACAGAGGTAGGAGCCAGTTTCTTAGTATCAGAGAAACAACCGAGGAGCCTAGAGATGATCAGGGACAGAAGTAAGAGAAGATTATATTGAACCTTTGGCATAAAGTTAATTAAATAGTAAACAATCATGTCGTAGCCAATTTCTTACCTGATAGCATCAGCCAGCTTCTCAAACTGGATTTCTGTGCGGAAAAAGTGGGAGTTGGCGGGTTCATAACGCATGGCAGCAGTCAGCGTGCAGAAGACAGTGAGCAGGAGCTCAAAGACCTGGTTCTGGTTCACCTTCTCCCAGCCCTGGCGGGGAGGCTGACACAGAGAGCGCTCCATCGCCACCAACAAGGAGGTGACATAAACAAAACCGCCAACTTTACGAAAGACTGTCCGTGTGCGGTGACTCTCGCGCAACACTGCCAGCAAAGCCTACAGAAATGAGCAAGAGTAGAAATGTTTCAATTGATTGTATTTGATGGCCTTCATGTGTGACTGTTCCAACCAGCAGGAGGCAGTAATTCAGTTATTCTACCCTCAGGATGTCAGTCTTCAGCTGCAGCTCAGTGGGTGGTGCCGAGTGCATTAGACCCAGCAGCGTCCCCATGTCGTCATCTCCGCTGGGAGACAGAATGAGCTGCTGGATGATGAGGAGAGCATGGTCCCGACACTGACGATACCGCACAATGTTGTGAACACAGCGAGCACCACCAAACTCTCTAAACAAAGCTGTGAAAAGAGTGCAGGGGCAGGGGAAGGAAAGAAGGGGAAATGGAAAAAAGATTTAGGAAGAACAGTGAGAGTTGACACATATCTTTACTTAAAATTAGACCAAATATCTAGAAGATGTCTTGGAATGGCTCAGTGACTAAACAACAAAATTAAATAAAGATTTAAAAATGTAAAATTTAAAACACGTGCAGCCTGTTGCACATCTAATTAATTGATCACGGGAATTTAATCTTATAATGTTTATGATTTATGCTGTACTTCAGACCAAGATTGATCTTTTCAACTAAATCTAAAGTTATAATCATGAATTCAGTGTGTACAGTTTTCACCGTGGAGTAACTCACACTTCATGGGCTCATTGAAATACTGTACATTTTTCAACAAACCTGCATTAGTGCTGCTGTTGTTGCTGCCCTGCAGTAACACCGTCAGTGTCTCCATCACCAGCCAGGCTAACTGCTTCTGTTCCTCAGCCACACAGTTGTTTTTACATTCCGCTGCAAACAGGGACAAACGCAGAGACAGAGAGCAGAACTAAAGTCAGATCTCAACAAGGAGTCAAAATGCCCTAAGAGATGCAGGAACTGAATGATGGATCATCCCTACCTTGCTCGTGAGCATGTAACTGCATTGTTGTCATTGTGGACTGCGTAACTGGCTCTTTCAGCATGGCAGCATACTTGTGCAGTAGGTTAACCAGAACCTCCAGCAGGCCCACCTCGCGCAAGACATCATTGAAGACAGTATCATGTCTGGCTAACTTCAGCAGCGAGCGCACGGCAGTGACGCTGCATGCATGCGACGTGCTAGACTTTAGCAATACGCTCACACTGAACAACTCCTTACATGGAACATAGTTAAGGCTGAATACCACGAACTCCAGCAACTCAAAGTACTTGACCTGGGCCTCAGGTAGTTTTGCCACACGCTCAGCGAACTGTGAGAGTGTGTGCTGAGACTCCAAAATAAAATAATTAGCTGGCTCGACAGCATAGATGTTTCCGATGGCGTCCAGCAGCATGCAGGCCAGGCGGCTGGTTTTAGCACGAAGGAAGGCATTTTGAAGGACGGCAAAGGCCTGAATGTTCCTTACTGTGTGTTCTAAAGAAAAAAAAGAACAGGTCAGTAGCTGCAGTAAATTACTTTTATTACATATATACTACATATATTACTTAATACACTCTGTGACTTTTACTATGAACAACTGTTATGTATAAATAATGTTCTTTTTTCCCAGATGCTTTAACAAAGTGAAAATCTTACCTTTCCCAGAAGGCTGTGGAAGAACAAACCCAGGCAGCAGAAAGGGGGCGCCGGTGGTCAGACCTGCAGGTTTCAGCTCAGTTATACCGTACGTGGTCAGACATGTGACCAAGTTTATGAGGTCTTTGAGTGCATCCTTGGATTCGTCCTCTTTGGCCTGTTCCAGTCTGACAGAGATAAAAGGGTGTGTTTACTGACCATGAGAAACACAGCAACTCAGAGAAGTAACAACATTATGACTCGTACCTGAGCATGAGATCACAAAGGAAGGCATAACCTTGACACATCCTGAAGTCATCCAGCAGTGTCTGTGAGACGTCACTTGAGTCTTTGAGGAAGCAGGAGAGGCCAGCAAACATCTCCACAATCTCCAGCGGTGATAAGTCATCTGACTGCTGCATGTTTTGGACACACGTGGCTAAACATTCCTTCTCTGTAAATAATAATAAATGGAAGAAACTATTTGAGTTTTTTTTTTAATTAAACATCTGGACAATAACAATGCATTTTAAGGTAAATGATCATCAGCTTGGAAAAATATATACCATGGATGTATTTGACTACGTTAACGCTAAGTCCGTGGCGGGAAATGGTTGTCAGCACCTCGCCCGCACTCCTTCTCCAGGGCAAGTTGTGGGGTGGACACCAAGAAGTGATGGCACTGAAGAGCAGCTGAAGGTCGTCTTTCTGAGCCAGCTCCTCAGCTGGAGAAACGAAGTTGCAGAGCTTCACAAGGATCTGCAGCACACAAGATGGAGAAGCAGGAACATTATTTTTTGTATGTATAAGATAGTAGGGTGAGAAATTATTGTCATCATTTTCATATTTCTTGATTGTTTTTATGATGATATGGTATGATAGCTATCCTAGCATAATTGCTGGTTAATATTAGCATGCTACAGCTTAGCATTAAGCTATTGCTTTTTGTAAGCTATTGTTGGCTTACTTTCTGCTCTTTCTGGACTAGTTTTGTTAATGGTTACACTACCATTTCTCCAAACTTACTTTCCTCCAGAGTAGCATTTTAACTATTTGTTAACTCACTAAATGCTAAATTGACTACTCTTTGTCAGATTTCAAGGCTATCCAGGAAATTTTTTTTGCTAATGTCTTGCCAAACTATTATTTTAAGTCAATACAGCCAATATTTTTACCAACAAAACACTCTTTAGTTATATCTTGTTGATGTTTTGGACTTTTTTGTCTATATCTATTTCACTACATATCTGGATAATAATCAGATATTTACAGTGACTTTTGGCTAGATTTAGTTATGGTACAGATTTAGCTCCGTTTTAGTTTAGCTAAATCTGGTTAAGGCCTTTCTCTGTACCTGAACAAAGACTTTTTGTAGCAGTGCCCTACGGTCAGCCAACGGTAGCTCTGGCTGAGGTTGGCCCTGGACTGTCTTCTCCTGTAGGGGGGGCAGCGGTGGTTGGGGCTGAGGAGGGGGGCCCAGTGGGGCCTCGGCCATGTGAGGCAGGTCAAAGAACAGATAGAGGCATTTGACCAGAGTGGAGGGGACAGACATGGTCGTCATGCAGTCCACTGTTTTCTAAAGAAGAGAAAATTCTCAGTCAGACAGGGATTGAATCTGAATAGTTTAGATCCTACAAACAATGACAGAGTCACCACAGAGAAGATTTACTAATCCAAAAGTCATATTAGATAATAAAAAAATAATAATTCAGAGATATAAAACATTTAGACATGTGACATTTTCACCCTCCATAACTCACCTGTCCAGATGAAGCCAACAGGTTGATGGTGGTCAGAAGCATCCAGCCTCGACTCGTCTCCTCACTCTGATTCACCTCCAGGAACTGGACGATGGCTCGACTGGCTGCCTCTGTTTGACACAATAAATAAATACACCAACATAAACACAGACCACCTGAATGATCCCATTATTCTCTGAATGAATTAAGGAATTGTGAAGAATTTCCATCTGATAACCATCTAAACGTTTGAGAAAAACTGACCGGTGGATTTGTTGGAAGCTCGACGTCTGATCTCTGTCACCATGAGTCGTGACACCTGTGTAGTGAACTGCAGCAGATCGGAGAACTTCTCCATCATGGAACTGGGAGGAGCATTTCCAAACACCTGAAACGCATCATGCTGAGTTAGGAATGGTAAAAAATAATCAACAATACAAATGTCACAATGTGGAAACAATCAAACATGCACACATCAGTCTAGGTATTATATTGTGGCCATCTACATTTGCATCATAAATCAGTGCAGATTTCACAACTTCATATATGAAAAGTGATTAACTCTGTAAGTAATGTGTCATAAGGGCTACAGTCAAGTACTAATAAAATCTTGCTTACAGCGTCTTCTAGATACTGTCTCTAGGTCCTGATAAAGGTTTCTGTGGTGGAAGGAAGTCTTATGTCAGGGCTCAGTAAACCACTGGCACCTGTGACACTGTTGTTTTTGGATGACCAGTGTATTGACTCAGAGGGAGTTTACTGCACTAAGCAGCTAAACACTCATGACTGTGTCACTAACAATTGTGGATGTGAACTTTAGAATCAAACCAGCCTTAAAGCAGCTCCAAGGGATTAAAACTATTGTATTTATTCCAAAGCTTTATTATGGTGACTCGCCACTTTTGACTTATTCTACTATGAATTACCCTGTTGAACACAGGTAGCATCATGTAGAGCTTCTCCTCCTGCTCCTTCTGGGTCATATGACGTGGTGGGTGGCACAGCTCTGAGAAGAGGCGGCGGAGGTGCATCAGGCCGAGAGCATTGTCCTGCGGACTGCACTCCTCCTGCCGCCGACTTCCCATGATCCTTTTTACCATGTTCATTTTCAGTGGCTTTGTCAGGGCAAAGGCAGCCCTGTTGATAAGAAAAGGAAAATGATGACTGATAGTTCCATATGAAGTTAGAAGTCTTTTTCTACCAGAGACTTGGCCAAATATAGGAGCCAATCATTTACAAAACAGTTTCCTGTAGTTTTCCTCGTATTTCTGAAGTGCATACTTTTTTAAACAAACACTCCTGAGAGTCCTACCTCTAAAACAGAAAGAAAAAAAGTTCTTGTCCTTTCGTTTTGTTCATGATGTGAAACTGTACTTCTGTCAATTCTGTTTCAAGTTCCTCTGACGAGAAGACAGACTGAAGCACACTCTTCATCAAACCCAAATGTATGTCTTGATAACCTTGACCATATTGGATTCTGTTTCTTTTTAAACTGTAAAGCCTAAAAACACATTGAAAAGGTCTGGGAGAAAAAGATGAACAGACACATGGACATAAAACCCTACTGATGTCATGTAAACGTAATCCACATGGAGCAGCTTTCACCTGTAAACACATCTTGATCTTGAGGGTATTCTAATAAAGCCACCTCTATTTAATCAACTACCAGTCCGCTATAACTATCTATAAGTGCTATAATCTGATTTGAGGAGCAAATGTGAAATAAAAAAGGTAAAAGTGAAAAGTAGCTTAAAAATAAATTTCTTTAAGCTACTTTTCACTTTTAGTTACTAGGGATGTTTGAGCAACTCAAAAAGAGCATTTTTGCACAAACAACAACAATTTACTTTTACGTACACACTATCAAAAAATATGAAATTGTAATTGGCCAAAATAATTGCACTGCATCTCTATGTCAAATAGTGACAATGGCATACGAAACCTTGGATAGACTGAATTACAATATCTAAGGAAACTGCCTTAAAGATGATGCATCTCTGCTAGACGTGATAAAATTAGATCCTCCAGGTATAAATTATGTCAAGAAGTTGCTTAGAGAGACTAAAACAAAAGTGCCTTAGCAGTGGTTTGTACATACTGTATATACATACATATATATCATACATTGGATGCGAGTCAGGATTTGACACACACTGTGTGTGTGTGCGTCTGTGTATACTCTGATGTTTTTATTTCCACTCCTCCAAATCTCTGCAGACCATCTGTACAATGGTTGCTATGAAACAGCAGTGAGCTGCAAAGCCTCCATACCACATACTCAAATATCTGATCAAAATCCGCATCAACACCTTTATGATCACTGGCCTCTGAGCAATGTTGCCAGATCAAACAAACAGTTTCTAGCCAAACAGAAACCTTAAATGCCTGCAGTACCATTAATGCAGTATGAAGCTCAACCTGGATATAAACCATTTAAAAGCATTACAAATGGAACAGGATACATGTCGTACACATTCATGCCTTATATTTGCATCAATATAAAGACTAAATGTTAAAGATGCTACCATAACCCACAAACAGTGCAGTTAGACCATGACTTATGAATGTACTGAGTAAAAAGTGCAAAGGACAGTTTGCACTTAGACTTGGACCTTGATTTGATTTTGTAATTATTGGACAGACAAGTTTAAAAGAAAGAGTAATGCATAGATTTTATTTCTGAAAGTCACCACAAAAATAACAGTGGGGGACTTACTGCAGCACGTTTTATTTGTCACAGTTGGTGCAAAGGAACCCAGATTCATGCAGTACTACCAGATATCAAGCACTACATTTTGTAAGTAACTGACCTTAAGAGAGATTACCAGATGTGAAAAAAAGCAGTGAGAAAATTTTATTAAGTAAAAGTATCTTTACTTTGCCTGAATTCTACCATCTACCATCAAGTAACCATCTAAAAATCTATTTGAGTAAAAGTAAAAAAAATACTTACTTTATCAATTTACTTTGAGTAAAAGTTACTTGGTAACTTTGAATTACATTAAAAAACACACATTTCTCATTAGACACAACTGAAGTGTTCGGAGCTGTGATAAGACTTAAAAAAGAGAAGACCATAGAAGGAAAGAAGGAAAGAAAAGTGAACTCCTTGTCATTGTGACATTGTGGCCACCACTGTGGCACACAACCAAATGTGACCTCAGCATTTAACCCATCACCAAAGTGAACTGTTTGCAGTTTTTTGAGCGCCCAGGGAGCGCTATGTGGGGACGGGCCCATGCTCAGAGCACCTCACTGGTAACTTGGCAGCTGTTGGATTCGAACCTTCCTCAGCTTCCTTAACCACTAAGCCACCACTGCCCCCCTAGTGAGTTACTAAAGCTTCAAAAGCTAAGACTGAATGGTGACTGAGAAAAAAATGGGAGCTTCCTACATGACCTCCTACAAAAGAACTCAACATTGAATTTGTTTTAATGGGCAGAAAATCAGCTCCAGGTCTCTGAGTGAAGCTGAATCAGCACATGTTTTTGTCCTAACAGGAAATGACACGGGAGGAAGGCTGCTTCCTATTTTACTATTGCATCACATGGACAACTGTTTTGCCTGCTTCTAGTCAAACCCATGTTTTTAAAGTGATGGTTATATTTTGGAGTTTATATGGGATGGTTCATCTATGGATCCTTCCTTGATGTTTCACACTTGTACGCATCACACCAACCACCAACTCCATTATCAACCCTTCCACAGCCAGTTTAACTGCCACAGAGGAACAAAGAAAACGGAAGATACTTCACACATATAAGGAGACAGCTCTGTTTAAGTGTTACACTGACACTTCTGGAATCAGGAAACAGCCAGACACAGACTTTCATTTTTACATTTAGACACTTATTGGAGACAAGTTTTAAAAAAGCACTTCATCAAATTCTATTGACAGAGCAAAGTTAAACTCTCAGAAACAGGAAGTTTTCTGAGAGCTTAGATCAGTGCCCTTCTCTGCGCTGGTCTATGTCTATCAATAATGTAAAGCCTATATAAAATATTTCTGACAAAATAAGTGACAAAATACACTCTAACTCACACTCCACAGTGCTATAAAGTGAATTTACTGGATGTCTCAATCAAACGTGGTACAGGAGAGTAAGCAGTTTAAAAACTGCACACTACAAGGAGGATGTTTCAGCTCCAAAGTCACCCCAATGATGGTAATTCATCTGGTAGATACGATTTTTTCATATGTGGTAAAAAAAATTAACAAGATGTGTGTAATGTTTCTTAACCAGTGACTTTTAATTCCCATCTTTCGTTACTGTTGCTGTTACCTCATATTGATGTCGTAGAAGCTTCTCATTGTGGAAGCTATCTGATTATTATTTTGTGTCTGAAGGGTAGGGTGGATGTGTTTAAACTAACATTTAGTTTTTGTGTTGGGCTATCGACCTAAAACCTTTGAGTATGTAAAGAGGATATGCCTTCATTCTGTACCCATGAAAGGAAGAAAAGCGATCCACACTTCTGGATTTTACAAGCCAAAATGTATTAAATCCTCTTCCTAAAAATAAATAAATAAACTCAATCATTAGATGGCATTGTACATGCGTGTGGAAGAATGACTGTTGGAAGGCAGTGTAGGCTCTATCAACGCAACAACAGAACTGCCTTATCACTCTCTCTGCTTTCTTCTGTGTTCTGTGACCTTACTCTGCTTCAGTGAACTATAAATTTGGTGTTCCATGTTCAGTGAGGCAGAGTCCAGAGACAGCAGGACCGCCACCACCACTGAGTCACACACATGTCACAGGAATCAGCAGACGGGTAAAGAGGGAGAGATAGAGGAGGTGGAATTGATGCTCACTTCATATTGCCAAATCAGCAGTAGGATTTCGGGGTAGGGTTGTACAGATATCATTTTTTTCAACTGAACAAATGAAAGAACACATTGTTGCCACATAAATTTCAGCAAAATATTACCAAGTTAGATGTAAGTCTGTCCATTGTGCCATTAAACTGAGCACAAATGTTAGCATATTATGTGCTATGGCGTGTCTTTGGCTTTTTGGATGATGCTACTATCAAAACATAACAAATCTTAATGTATGCCCTGTTTGGGTCTGTGTTCCTGATGTAAAACACTTCCAAACTGCTGACATCATGTATCACATAAATCATCACATAAATTAACCACCCACAACAGCAATAAGACACTGAACTGCAGCTGAAAAAAAACAAAAAGAAAATTGCTGACCAGTGCACAGTTACTGTAGTTACACAGTATCGGGTTGCTGACTACAAATATCTCAACTAAGTATTGGTCCCTATTTCAGAGTTGTTTCAAAACGTCAGTTATTTTTTGTTCAAACAGAGGAATGTTAAGATTTATAAGTTAAAAGTGTGAGATTGGACCATCAGTTGTCTGTCCACTTTTCAACCTCAGATCCATTATAAAAAACAATCTAGGCTCACATTCAAAACAATACAGTACAGAATGTAGTACGTTGTTTTGTTGTGAATATGTAGGACAGAGGTGAACTCCTCTGCCCTCTTTTGCAGAAAGATGCCAGGCTAAAGTCTCTGAGAGGCACATGTTGTGCAACAGCTATAAATGTTTTACGTCCTTTGCGATGAACCATAGAGTTTTGGGATTCTCGCACCAGATGTGCGGGGCGTTTGTTGTGACAAGTATGAATGCAGACTGGTCTAACAGTATTTATTAACCATGCCTAGAGACGTGTGTAACAGAGGAGATATGTTTAGTGTTATTATGATGCATTTACGGGTTTTTTCTAATGTAGGGAATGCCACTCCTCTTACAAAGGTGTAGTGCTATTTAGCTATAAATCAAATGCACATTTTTGCAAGATCTTTATCTTGACATTTGAGAATAGACTTTTTTTTAACTGATTTAAACTGAAGTTGTTAGGATGTTGGTCAAATGAGTGGTTGTCACTGATATCCAATCACACCTCTTTTTGACGTAAAATTTTACATTAAATAACAATATACTACTGACTATGTCTAGCTAAAAAAATAAAATTAATTGTCCACCAAGAAACACTATAGAACATTTTCCACAAATCCCAGACATAACTTTTTACTTAACACTTAGTGACTGGTCCTTGTGACCCTTGAGTTCCGATGCAGGATCAGCTTCACATTAAATGTGACAACAATCACACACTGGTCTCCACAGAGACACTCATAACTCAGTAGCAGCCCCCCTACCTTTTGTTGTCTCTGTGCTCTGCCAACATGTCACAAGAAAAATATTAAATATTCCACAACAAATGACGACGAGCCATGAAGCCCAGTAACTACAAGGGCATTACAGAAAAACACGTTTAAACTGAAACACAGGAACGAATGGGTGTCACTTCAATAAACTGGCACTGCCACTGTGTGTGTTTGCATATGTGTGTCCTGCTGGGACTGGCACAGCTAATCCCTCCTGACACCGGGTGGAGTGTTCAGAGCTTTAGAGAAAGGAGGGGGGGTTCACACTGAGTTGGAGCATTTCATATGGACCAAAGCATGGATAAATCTCCATGATAACTTTACATTCTGGTGACATCACTGTATGTCAAAGGTCTACACCACCCCAGATGCAACATACACTGCGAGCCGTCATGTTATTTTTTAAATCAGTCCACACTGACATGTGGTACAACAGGCTACACTGCATCTATGGGTGGCTTCTAAAGTAAGACAAGTCCTGATTGGTAGCAAGAATTTAATCAGTGATGCATTATCCCAGACGACGATCAACTGCATGGCAGGTTTCAAAATAATGACATCAATTAAATCATCTACCAATAGCTGTGCTTCTTACAAAAATAATTCCTTATTAATCAAGGCTTTGATTGATTTATGGTTAGACTTGTTTTGACAGGATTACATTAAGACCCAGCTATTTAGAGAGCACGTCCTGTCCTAGCACTTTCCTTCTCCTGCACCTGTCTCCACATCTGCACTCCAACCCTAGTTAAGAAGCCGCGCTTTCCTAATTAGCAGTCTCCTTTCAAGAGTACCCTTATGTAGCCTGATTGTTAAACCTTCTCTTGTAAGTCACTTTGGATAAAAGCATCTGCTAATTGCATACATGTAAATGTCTTCTCTCCTACAGGAAGGTAGATGAATAATAAACATGGATATCTGAAATTTAATGGAAAAAACATAAACACAATTGTAACACTTGTTCTGACACTTGTCCCTTACAAAACAGAGCTAAAAGTGAAACTATTGTGCCGCTGGAACAAATATGTCTTTTTACAAATCCTTGTCACCTAAACTGTTAAACGTTTATGCTACAGTATAATTACTATTATAGTATTGCAAAAGGCTAGAATACGGCCCTAAATCCAAAGTTCTGGTGTGTGTTGAGTATGCCTTCTTTTTTGTTGCTTTGACTGATATAAATTTCATATTTGGTTGATCAAGTACAATTTTTTTGCCATGATAAATAAAACCAGAATTTGCTCGATAACATGAGCAATTTCCTGTGTGTTCACAGAGGAAACTGCAGACAAAGTTAACCACCAGCTTTTAAAAAATGTTCTAATGTGTGTGGACACACCCTGTGAAAGTGATGGCAGCTAAGGTGTACTCAACAAGAATTACTCAGCATTAAAAGGGAAGATGGGGCTGAACTGCTGCCCCTACCTCCCAACAAATGACCATTCAGTCCTATGCATAGTCAAATGTGAAAATAGAGGTTGTGCACCACCTCTGAGGAAGGGGGTTTTCTCTGAGGACTGGGAATGAGGAATGATGGTGGTCTTCCTCCTGCACACCTCCACGGAGCTGGAAGCTAAAGCTTGTGATAAAAAAAGACAGTCCATTTATGCTAATGTAAAAGAAAGGAAATACAATATACAACAATAATTTTAGAATTTTTAGAAAACTAAATATTATTAATCAGAGACTACTCGTGATTATGAGACAGAAGCCACAATCTTGTTTATTGAAAGAAGCGCAGAGGTAATATCAGTTTTGTCATGCAATTGTCACAAATACACAAATAACCAGACTCATTAACAACATAAACAGCATCATAAAATGAGCTGCAGCTTTAACACGTATATGTTGTGGTTACACATATACGCATACTATTACAGTTGCACATATGCAGACTATTAACACGAAGGTAGATAAATAATTCACTCCGGCGAACAAATATTCATCAATGATGGATTCTGCTGACTCATTACGAACTCAACACTTGGGTAAAGATCCAGCGTAAAGTCCTACAAATAAGGGGAACCTTTCTACATCTAAGTTTGACCTCAGCTCATTATTCTCAATAAGAGAAGCCTTAGCAGCGCTAGCTAATATTGGGTTAGTGTTTTAACAGCTACCAGCTGCCAAAAGGGACTAGCGGCCTTTGCGCATGTCCGACAATGCGGCTGTTTCCTGTTATGCTTTGTCTGATGGACAATCTGATTTTCACAGTCGTGAATCCACATTTGTATCTTAAATGACAATAAAACGTGGCCAACACACTAAAAAGTACCACTACGACGAGAATGTTAAAATGGCGTATCAAGATATTTATTTATTTCAGAATGCATCTTTGGTGTGATTCCAAGTTGTGGTCATTAGTGTTTAAAGCAAAGGCTGCATTTGTGTTTTTTTATTAAATAAACTAACAAGAAGCAACATACATTTGCATTTACTTTTCATTCAAACAACAATAAACAATATCTCCGTGTTGCGTACCATACTTATAAATTGTGTAATCAACGTAATCAAGTCTCAAATACTGTTTTTAATTATTGTATTGAAAAAACCTGCTTGGTTTTGGTACGTAAAGGCAACACATGCCTCCCTGGTGACGCAGTTGCAGTAAAACGCATGCGCGACACTAGTTTCCGGTATAGCTAATAACAGTTAGCCGGGGCTAACAACAGCTAACTGCGGCTAACAACAGAGATGCTAATCGGTGACGTCAGTCGGCTGTCGTCATTAATCACACATCACATAAACACATAGATTGCGGTGTTAATTAATAAGAGGCATGTGTACACGAAGACACGGATGTCAAAGCTAGAATAAGAACAGTAGCTCTAACGTGAGCGCTTTCCAGTTGACGCTAACTCGGTGCTAGGTGGCTAGCTTCTTGTGTCTGTGCGTATTTGTATATATATATGTGTGTGTGTGTGTATGTGTGTGTTGTGTTGTATCCACCTTCACTCACCTGTGAGCGGCGTCTGCAGCTAGACTCTTCCCAAGAAAAGCTCCACTGTCTCCTCACGCTCTCCGTTAACATCCATTAGGTAACGGCGAGTGCTTTAATCCTGCAGTGGTCGCCGCTGCTTCCTCCTGCTGGGGGCCATTTTCCCCCTCAATATTCGTGAGATACAGAGCGAAGCTTCGTCCTGGAGGATTCCTGGAGTCACATACACTGATCCAGCGACACAGCGGAGGAGGACAGAGCAGCTACAGCAGCAATAGGAGGAGTGAGAGCAGCACTATGCTCCTCCTTCTTTCCTCATCATCTTCATCATCAGCCTCAGTACCATTGTCTTCTAAAGGCAGAGCTGACATCTGATGGTCATATAGAGGAAAAACACAACATTCTTGAGCATACAGTTCATATTTATATAGCAATATTCGTCGTTATAATTTATGGTTTGAGTGAAATGAAAATATCACTTGGGCGTTTGATAATAACCTAAATCTCTGTTTTTAGTGGTTCCTCAGCACTATTATTACAAATAAAATATAAGCACAAGTCAGAGTTGTCTGTGGGTGTAGCCCAACAGTAACAAAACAAGCCAAACTTAGGTCTAACCTGGTTAAACCAAGCATTTTAGAATACTTAAGATTAAGGTTGAACTTTATCGATTTTTAAACTGGATTTTTAACTTATTTTGCAAACAAATGCATTTGTAAGTGACGTGCGGTCAGAGGAGCCATCACGATAAAAAAGGAGAAAAAGTACATAAAATAAATATTAATATTTTCCACAAATCTGTGTTAAAGATGCATTTTCAGTAGGACTATACCATCCATCCATCTATCCATCATCATCAACCTCTTATCCGGGGCCGGGTCGTGGGGCAACAGTCTGAGCAGGGACACCCAGACTTTCCTCTCCCTCGACACTTCCTCCAGCTCTTCTGGGGGGACCCCAAGGCGTTCCCAGGCCAGCCGAGCGACGTAGTCGCTCCAGCGTGTCCTAGGTCTTCCCCTAGGTCTCCTCCCAGAGGGACGGCACCCGAGCACCTCCCGAGGGAGGCGTCTGGGGGCCATGCGATGTAAATGCCCAAGCCACCTCACCTGACTCCTCTCAATGTGGATATATTCACCCAACAGCATCACCTGGTAATAAACCAATGGACCATCCAAGAGAAGATAAGATGCTCTTTTTTTTTTTGGTTCTTACAATTGTAAATCTGACTCCAGAGGAGTCAGTGCCTCACCAGCCATGAACCTCACCGCACGTCACTGGTACTCAGTACACCTGTATCACACTGAATCATACAGTGAATCGTTTTCTTCCGTTGACGCATAAACACTTTTTCAGCTTTACTGGCCACAAATGCCATTAAATCACTCAGTCTAGAGAGAAAATTGTGACCAAATAGAATACAGATTGGTGCCCCGGGAAATTAATGCAGCATTGTAAGATATTAAATTGTATTTCATTAACCACATTTTCCTAATAGTGTGCCTCTGTGTTACAGTGACTGTCAACATGCTGCTTCATAGATAAGTGATTGCACCAACATCACCGGTGAGGTCAAAAATAAATAAGTCACTGCTGTCAGCAGAGACACTTCCACTCTCGGAGCAGAGACAGCAGGGGGCAGCACCTGTCTGATAATGATTACACAATTGTCAGCCTTGCCTCTAAAAGTAAACATGAGTGTTTTCCACTTCTTTAAATCACAAAGCTGACCATATTCTTCGACAAATATGCTACACAGTTCTAGGTGTGACTTCTCTGTGAATGTCCAGAGTGAAGGTAAAGCCTAAAACAGATGGCCAAGGGATACTACCCCTTTAAAGTTCAAGACCTTTTCTAGGTCTAGGAACCCTAGATTTCTGTTTGGTATATCAGCTAAACCCTAAACCTTTACTCTTTCTAATGCTGTGCAGATTGGTTCACGGAAGTGCTTGATTTAAGTAGACTCTGATTCTGTAAAATTTTGTTGCTGCTTTTTAAGTCTTTTTCATTTGTGTAATGTTCATATTGTTGTTACTCAGCCAGTGTTTGTGGGTCTGATGGACCCGTTGCATTTTGTGGCTTTTGATGCCTCACAATCAACACTTTAAATGTTAAAATGTTAAAATGTTAAAATGTTAAAATGTTAAAATACTGAACAGATGTTTACCTTATCCCAATTACAAGCAGTATAAAGAATATATATGGTTAATATTTGCCCTTTACCTTTGTTAGGTCACATTTATATGTTATGCACACTTCTATTAGCCCCGGGTCCAGTGGACCCGAACATCTTATATGTAATAGAAATGTGTGGGGGGGTGCATGGTGTGTGGTCATTAAATATGTATTCTGATATATGTTCTTCACAGAAAATGAGCCAAAGCCAGTGTCTCAGTTTGAAAAATTAAATAATTATATCATTTTTCTTTTCTTAAAAAGTGAAAACGGGTCCCACAGCCCCGAACACCACACAAGGGTTAAAAAGCCAAAATCACCAAATGTAAATAAATGAACAATTATGAAGAAAAACATAAGTGTCTGGTATGTTATATATATACATTGATGATGATGATAATGGGCCCTTCAGGGTTCACCAAAGCTAAGGCTGACACAGTGGCTTCTACATAAACTACTCCATCTGCAGAACATGCTGCTGTTATGGCGGATGCCAAAATTCTTCAAGATTCACAGGCCTGAACATGAATCTTACAGTAAGTGAAGACATTATCAGTAAACAATGAAACAACACTGAAGTGTTTTATCAGAAGAAATCAAAGTTGTGAGTTCACTGAGGTGAAGTTTCCATAATTCTATGGGGAAAAGAATCTTAAGTTTCAGTTCTCCAAAAAATCCACAACTACAAAACAAATAGTAAAGCCATCATATTAAATGGCCAACAGCAACATGAGGTCATGATAAACATGGGTTGATGTTATTTGTTAGAAGATGTACAAACTAAAAGACCAGTCGAATCCATCTGCTCCACAATGTAGTTTATTGCAGAACCAAGATGTTTGCCCAAGTTGTTCAGTCGTTGGCTGGCAGCCCACATCAAGTGACCCCGGGCGAACCTTCAGCCTCACAGTTATGCATGTGTGACACAAGTCCAACACATGAACTAGTATTGTCAGTCTCTCAGCCCCATTCCAAAAAAATCTGCAGCACAAAGCAGAAGGGTGAAAGTTCATCTGATTTTGGTTTCAATTCCCTCAGGGTATAGACGACTTCCCCCCGGTCAAATCATTGACAATGCCTTTTTATCAGCACTGCTCTGAGAACTGCATAAAAATCAAACGAGGAGAATAAAGTCATTTCACATAACACTCTCACAGAAAGTAATGATACCTAATATAAAACTAGCATGTTTTTGTTGAGTTAAAGAATCCTGTGTTCCTCAAAGACTGTGTTTGGGTTTCTCTTTCTGAAACATGACCATGTGTGTCAGTTTATAAATGTCACTCTTGATGAAATCCATTACTTAGAAAAAGGAAACATCGCTCTCTCAGTTTCACTCCCACTTTTTGATTAAATGGTGGAGTAAATGATAAATCTAAGTCACTTCGTTTTTCCGTTAAACAGAAGATACTGACCACTATTATCCAAGAATGAGGAGGAAAACAAGGAGTTAACATTTGTTTTACAGAGAATTATGAGTCAGCTGTGACAGTATTCAAGGTAAATGTAGCCAAAGATACAAAAATATCTAAACACAAGTGACTATTATTTAAATGAAGACAAAATATAAAATGAATCTTAAAGGACTTAAAGTTTGCAAAAAACTAATAACTTGTTAAATGTTTAGCAAAATTGGCTTAGAATAATTTAGCACAGTTGAACAGTTGAAAATATGTGTAAATTAAAATTAAATTTAGCTAAAGATGAGCTAAAAGCAGTTAGAGCCTAAATATAGACCAACGATATGTTTACAAAAGAAAAACATTTAAAATCATTTTAAATGTTAAAAGCTGGAAAAAAAATCCAAAATGCAAAAAAAAGTAAAAAAATTTCAAACAATAGGAAAAAAAAGCTGAAAGTTGACCAAAAATAAGAATAAAAATAAAGAAAATGGTAAAGACCAAAGACCAAAACTACACTAATATAGAAAATAAATATTACTTTGGTCAGAAGAACTCTGATTGAAAAACCAATCAAAGGTTTGGTAAATGCTGGTTGACATAAGACCAAATAAACAACAAAACAGGATAATCTGGACTCCTGTTTTGTGGGCACGTAAACGTTACGAGGATATAATTCCAGGATAAAATCAAAAGATGAATAACGTTTTACAAGAAATCCAACAACTCCAGCAAGTCCACATACACACACATGCACACACAGACACGCACACACACATAAACTCCTACTTCTGGCAGGAGTTATGACTTTGCCGGGAATGAGGACATTTCCCTGCTGTTGCTCAACAATCCCACACACACTTGATATCTCATGCACCCACACCAATCCTTCACTTCTGGCTTTGATCCCACACATAACCTCTGTGAGAGAAGAAATGAATGAATGCAAAATAATTATGATGTTGATGATTTTCTCAGCTAAAACATTTACTACAACCTTTTCAACAAGAAGAGGTTATACATTTGACCTTGAGCTACATTGGGCACACAATGGTCTGTAGAGCCGTACACCCCCAACTAAACACAAACTTTATTCATTAATTTAAAAAAATGGGCTTCTGTAACTTTTAAAAAGGTTTTATTTTGAGACGTATAGATTACTGTATCACATTTTGTGTGAAGTGACCCCCCCGCCCCCCCGCCCCATTTTGACTTCTTCTTCTGCTGTGGGAACTGTGTTTTCTCCTAAAAGAGAAAGAGAGAAAGAAGAAAAAAGAAGAAGAAGAAATGAAGAAGAGAACTAGACAAAAGGGAATTACTTTTTGATACTTAGGGGTTAATAATTTTATGGACACTACTGCACACTTTAAAACCACTGACTCTCCCACAGCAAAAGTTCACACAGATACTCTGTGGTTTAAACTCACATGGACAAAGGAGCTGCTGATCTATCTGTTTTGTGAATTAGGTTTTTCAGTGACACGCATTGACCACACGAGGCAGTGACAACCCAGAAGCTCATGTGTCCTCGTGAATCTCTAAGGACTTCTGTATGAGAACATATCCCCCTGAGATAAGAAGTGAAAGCAGTGAACAGTTCCTCAGGATTGTTTTACTCTCAGAGTTTCAGTCTTCTGGTGTATTACTGCCAGACATATTGTTATAATTGGGATTTTTTTTCTTCTCTCTTTAGACTATATTTCACACAGACTTCTTATTGTTCCTTGTTGCACAATATACACTTACATGCAGATCATGATATACTATTTTTGAAAAAGCAATATTTCAATAAAAAGCAGAATTTCACGTGCACTGAATAAGATCAAAGTCAAGGTCGAACCAAAAGAAGTTGGAACCGTTTTTTTTTAACGCAATTGTTTCTTTGTTACAACATTACTGGGAACGTCTTCTGGTAATAAAAAATTTTGGGAGAGTAAAAAGCGAGTACGATTTGCCCTGAGGAAAAGAACACTGTTCCTTGGTTTGGCAGTGTGATGAGACATATGTTCAGACACGCGTTGCTGAACGACTCGTTTCCAGTCACTAAGATCCTCACACTTTCACTTTCACTCACTTTCACCTGTATAAATGCACCTGTGTTTTAGCAGCTTCTGCACACTTACCTGCACAGGTGAAGAAGAAGAAGAAGCAGAGACAGCAGACATCCTGAGCTCACAGACAAAAACAAAAATGTCATCTTCTAGAAGAATCCAGGCTTTGCTCCTGCTTACTGTCCTACTCACTGCTGCAACAGGTAAGGCACTAATAATTGTCTTGGTGTATAGTGATGGTGTATAGTGATGGTGTATAGTGATGGTGTTTAGTGATGGTGTATAGTGATGGTGTTTAGCGACGGTGTATAGCGATGGCTTTACTGACAAGTCAATACAAAGATGGGTCAAAGTTAACAAATCTGCTAGTTGCTTAATCAACATCTACTTTCTACAACATGAATAAACTTAACGTAAGAAAAAGACATTTTTTGGTCAGTACAGTTTAAAAAATGAAGCCTATAGTAAAAAAGTTACAGTAAAACAGTATTTATTATGGATAAACACAGGAATTATTAAGACACCTGAACCTTTTTTTCCTCTGCTGCAGCCGAGGTGGTGGTAGACTGCTGCCTCAGCACCACCGACAAGTTCTTCCCTCTGATCCGCATTGAGAGCTACAAACTCCAGGAGGCAGGCCAGGGCTGTGACATCAGTGCCACTGTGTGAGTGATCAAGTCCTACAGTGACCACTGCCATTATTAGTTTGTTTTGTTTTTTTAATCATCATTGTGTTGTTTGTTCTTCTTTTTCTCAGGTTCATCACAAAGACAGAGAAGACGGTGTGTATTGTCCATCCCACTGAAGAGAACAAGAAGACCAAGTGGGTCCAGACTCACATCGAATACCTGGAGAAGAAAAAGAAGAAGGCAGAGAAGAGCAGCTGAGCAAGAGGTGTGACCTTTGCATTCTGGGAAAACATGGCCAGATGACCAAAGCTGGATCTGATATCAAGGATCTGTCTCTGCTCTGACACTGATGCTGAATTACTGCAGATAAACACTCTGTGATGTACAGATATGTGTTCTATATTGTATTTTATTCTTCTAAAGAGTTTCTGTTTTTTTATGTAACCAAAATTTGACTGTGACTCAGTTTAATGACTTCATTGTACAAAAAGTGACTAGATGGGCTGCTTGAAATAAACACTGACATATTTGAATTTTTAAAAAAGTGTTGTGTTGTCTTCATCATCTTTATCAAACTATTCATCTGGACAGCAGCTCGAGTATTATGGTGAAGCAGTTTGGCCAAAAACCTGCAAAAAAAGTTAGAAAATTATTTAAAAACCAAGCGTTAGATAAACAACAGCCTTATGACTTACTCATTTACTATAACCAGTTAATCCAGGAGGGAAATTATTCTCTGGTGGCTAAGGAAACAGTCGTGGTTCCAGAAAGCTGCAGGTTTAAATCCACCAGCCACCAATTGCACCAACCACGGCACCATCCCCACACACTGCATCTCAGGTGCCCAGCATGAGCTGCCAACTACCCACTATGGTAATGGTCCAATAGTGGAGGACACACCTTATTGTGTGCAATGACAAATAAACCTTAAATCTTTACTGTGAGTGGTTGGAGTCTTTCATACTTTATCTTCACTGGAAAAAACAACTTGTAATACTTCTTAGAAACAACCCTGGGAACAATTTGCAGCAGCATTTTTAAAGTTAATGTTACTGCAGTAATATCAGGTACAATTTTGCAGTACTAGGTAAAAGGTACTTACTAAGATGATTAACTATTGTGAATTTATTGAGTATTTGTTACTCACTGCACATATGTTGGAGTTTTGTGTGTGTGTGTCTTCTTGCACTGAGTTACTGCTGATGAGAGCAGCACACCTGAGGTCAGTCTCCTCCTCCTCCTCATCATCATCATCATCAGCGATGACTTAGACCAGGGGTCCACACTGACCTTTGAACTCTCTCTGTGTTAATCTCGTTTTAGAGATTCGTAATCTCCTCTTTATCCCCCCTCCTTCTCCCAGTATTTACTAATGTAATTAGTTGCATTAAGTTACATTACTGGTACTCTGTAATATTAATATTATAATATCCAAATGTTACAGGTTTGTCTTTGATAAATATGAGCAATAATAAATGTGTGCATAAAGGATAACATCATCACAATCAGAAACATATGTTTTATTTGTTCTTATTATAATTTAACAGACTTTTACTGTAAACTTCCAAACACAACCGAAACACTGACATCACCAAAATTCTCAGCTAAATATGATACCTGTCACTCTGAAACAGTGATCTGAAACAAACAAACAGTAAATGAGAGTTATCATTTACTATAACCAGTTAATCCAGGAGGGAAATCATTCTCTGGTGGCTAAGGAAACAGTCGTGGTTCCAGAAAACTGCAGGTTTAAATCCACCAGCCACCAAGTGCACCAAACACGGCACCATCCCCACACAATGCATCTCAGGTGCCCAGCATGAGCTGCCAACTACCCACTATGGTAATGGTCCAATAGTGGAGGACACACCTTATTGTGTGCAATGACAAATAAACCATAAATCTTTACTGTGAGTGGTTTGGGTTGAGCAGTGTTTTGGAAGATTTTCTGTATTTTGGCTTTTATTGCTGGTTTTATCCATGGTTAAACTCCAGCACTTCTGCTACTGTTGTTTGCTCCAGTTTGGCTGACACTTATGTATTCATATTATTATTTTCTATGTATTGGTGTTTGTCAAGTTAAAGATGTTCAAGATGTTCACTTCCAATATTTCCATGTTGGAAAACAAAATGACTGGCCTTGTTTTTTTAATTTGTTTGCAATCCTAGCCTTAATTATGTTAATATTTAGCCATTTTGAAGAGTTTTTGCAAAGACATATTTATTTTACAAATGTTTTGGCTAAATATATTGTTATAGAATATAGAACCTTCTAGTCTTTAGGTGAAAAATCCCCAAAGAATTTTTGGCTACATGTCATAATTGTCCTTTATTTGGAAATTCTGTCTGAAACGTTTGTCGTTATACTGGTTAAAAAAACAAACACTTACAGTGAGACAGTGTTACTCAACTGTCTTTATGTATTTCTTTTATATGACAATCAGGTCCTTCAACCTTTCTCACACTTCCTGTAAACACAGGGGAAAATCCAAGAACATAAAACTGAACACATCCTCTTGCACACAACAGACAGAGATAAAGAGTCAGGCAGACGTCCAAGAAACCACATACGGGAAAACAAGAGTTTGTGTGTAAATGCTTGTCAACACACGATGTCAGTCTGAGGCCCTGAACATTCTACAATTTCTGGTAATGTCACACCAGTTCATTCGATTCTCAGGGTAAATCGTTAATGATGGTGCCACATGAGAAGTGTGCTGATGCTCTTGGCTCAATTAGAATATCACAGCCTCAGCAGCTCTGTTTCCTGCATGTGTTTTCCCAGGTCCTGTTTCCTTTCACGGTCCAACCTTTTTGTTGTCTTGTTTCCCAACCTTTTTTGAGCCACGGCACATATATATCATCAGGAAATCCCATGGCACACCACCAAACAAAAATCTCACAAAAAATATATGTAATGAAATATAATAATCTTGTAGTTTAAATGTACTAAAAATGTACTCTTGTTTAGTTGAAGACAACGCTGATATACTGGCAGGAATTGAAGAAAAGACACTCTTCTTTAATCTTCTTCAACAGCTCTGATTATCTTTTTTTTTCTTTTAGTTTTTTCTTTAGTTTTCACAGCCATCTGCTGCCACCTAGCAGAAGAGGATTTAATTGTTCTGCCTTTCGTGCTTTGACCAGCAAAGAAACATTATATGCAATAAATAGATAATAATTAAGTGGAATTGGATATTTTCCACGGCACACCTAATGATCTCTCACTGCACATTAGTGTGCCACGGGACGGTGGTTGGGAATAACTGCTCTAATAAATAAAAACTAAAGTCAAGCAGGGCCTGTTTTGACTGATTAATCCTCTGAAAGCAGCAGGAGGAAAATAACTAAATTCGATGTCTCCAATTGGTTAACGCAGAAAAACGCAGTATTTTTCTACTATATCTCAAATTAAGTCTTTAGCTTTAGGCTACCTTTAGAAACTTTTAGTGTAACATTTATCAATACTTTCAATTGTTACTTTTATTTATCTTTACTGTTATCAGCATTTACATGTCTGAGTGTTTTATCTTTTTTTATCCTGCCTTGTTTAAACCTGTGGCGCTTTGGCCCACAGGCAATGTCTCTGTCATTGGTGTGGAACCCCAGGATTCACCTCCTGGGCAAGTTCGAATCCCAGTTAGGGCAATTGGAACTTTCCAGTGGACTCACCACCTGCAGGAAGGTTGGTACGGTGCAGTGTGATTTGGGTGGTGGTCATGGAGACTGCTGCCCCCGCGACCCAGTAACGGATAAGTGGATGAAAATGGATGGATGGATGGATTGTTTAAAGCTCCTAGCTGCAGTGTTTCCTTTCCTCCTGCCACATGGTGGCACTCCTGCCACGCCGTCGTCTACCCTCTCTGTTCACGTCGGGTTAGTCCTTGGGACAGCGACCTGATACGGCTTGAGTTAGTGAGTGTGTGTTTATGTCTATGGGTAGTGGGGGTTGGGGGATACATTCAATATATAAAAATTGGCATACAGTATAAATAATAATAATAATAATAAATAATAAATGTTAAAGTGAGGAGATCCCTGGTGGTAAAGGCAGAGAATACAGCGGAGAAGACGGTGCCTTTGACGTCATGCAGGTAGTGTGTATGCTGAGGGCTTGTTCCTCATTTGTCTCATCACGACCGTTGTCTTGGTTGGACCAGTTTTTCCTCTATTTTTTAATGAGTTGCGATAAGAATCACTTTTGGATTAAAGTGATTCTTATTGAAATTATATATATATATTATAAGGGAATAGAGATGTGGGGATGATGGTGGTGGGGGAGATCATTGTCCTGGATCAATGGAGTTTGGGATTTGGGGGTTTCCTCATGATGATGGTGGAAATCTTGTAATCTTGGAAAATTCTTGTCCTGAATGTGGCAACATTGTTCCAGTGACACAGAGGAGATAATGGTTTTCTTTTGCCTTTTTTAAAAATAAAATAAAATAATAAAATAAAATAATAAAACACACCTGAAGGAATGAGGCAGTCTGTGTTTTGTGTTGATTTCAATGGTGACTGTTGACTGGTAGGTTAATGTATAACCTGACAATGGGGACTTTTCGGGAAGAGGAAAGAAAAAGGGGGTTTGGGGTGGGTGTACAGGGGGAGGGTTCTTTGAAAGACAGAAACTGAAAGTAAGTTACAAATAAATTAAGGTCCACACACAGACTCTTCATTCAAACAGGGAGCTGAGAGGGAAGACAACATGAGTGTGACTGTGAAGATCTTCATCTGCTGCTGCTTCATCGTCATGTTCAGCTGCTGCTGCATTCGTGAGCACTGATTTTTTTCTCTCTCTTCTTTTGTATTATTGTAAGATGAGTGAACATTAAAATAGGACTGGATTAAGAATGTGGTGGATTAGAATCTCCTTGTGTTGGTGTAAACTAACATAATGATTTTCTATGGAATTCAGAGTAGGATAGTGAGAGGTTTACAGTAGAGAACCAAGTGACGGTCTGATGTCAGGACACTGTGAATCTGACATAAATTAGCAGGCACATAAAAAGCTGAGTTGTTAAAACTGACCTTATTTGTAGCCACTGAAAAGTGAAAGAGGACTATGAGTCACTGTTACTTGAAGGTGTTTGTTAAACTGTTATGACTCTGGCTATGGACTCAAAGGGTGACTTATTTTTTTCTATAACAAATAAGATAACACTTACTCCTAGGGTGGTGGCTGTGATTTGATTACATGAATGTTAGGGTTGAGAATTATTTTAGCTGCTACAGTATAAAGTTGATTCAGTTGTGGAAAAACAAACATATTTGTTGTGTGTTTCCATATCAAAATGTATGTCACTTTTTTTCATTAAGCTACACTTTTAAAATATAATTGCACATTACACAGCATCTAAATGAGTAGCTGAATTGCGTCATAACACTGTAGTAATAATGTATTAATGCAATTTATTGTAGTTAAATAGTTGAATCCACTAATGTTACATGACAATGACGTGATGATGACAGCATGGTGTGTGTGTGTGTGTTTGTTCTCAGTGTGTCAGCCTCAGATGGTCATCGACTGCTGCCTCAGTGTCAAGAACAAAACCATCACCAAACACATTATCACTGATTACCATCAGCAGAGCGCTGGTCAGGGCTGCTCCATTGAGGCCACCATGTAAGTGTGAAAACAAATGGTTACATTTTTTTTAATTGGGTAGCAATATAATCTAAATGTCTGATTGTTGTTTGGATTGTCAGACTGGTGACCAGACGGAACAAGAAACTGTGTGTCCCTGCTGACGAGCCCTGGGTCCACATGGTGATGAGTCACGTGGATAAAATGAAGAAACCCTGCCATGGGAAACGCAGAGTACGTAGACACAGGCTCTGAGGGTGTACGTTTGGTTTGGAGAGTTGGAGATAAGTTTGATTGTGAAACATGCAGTGTGAATGTGATTTTTATTGTGAATAGATTGTGGTTGGGGTTGTGAATACTTGTAATATTCACACCACATATTCCAAAGAATGCTAACGTGTCCAAATATTTTCTTACAGAACAAACGCTGTGTCAAAGTGAAAAAGATGTGAATGTTGCCTGAGTAGTGACGACAACAATAACAACATTTGGAGCAGCTGTGATACAGGAGATAACGAATAAACTGGGTTTTTTTTTAAGAAAATAATTTGAATAGATATGTGCTTTGTTTTTCAAATATTACTGTACATATATTTGTATTTGGTTTGAGACAACAACAAAACTGTGACAAAAAAAGTGATGCTAGGAATGCTAAGCTAATTGGACCACTGGCTAACAGCCCTATGTGAATTGGTGTTTTTCTGTTTAAAATGTCTTATAATAAAACTTTTTTAAAAATTTTCCATGCCCATTTTTGTAAGCTTTCCCTCTTTTTTTAATCGAAATCCAAGAAAGCCAGTCTGGGTATGCTAGCTGTATGCATTTGTCAAATACAATTTTAGAAAATGGATAGAATGCTCTGAGTGATGAGTGATGAACAAATAAAACTGTTTTCCTGCTAACCACGTGCAAATAAAAGATATGTTGCTGTTTGAGAAACCCATAAGGCAATTTTGTTGCAAACACACTAAATCATTAGTTGTAATGAATATGATGCATCAAATTTGAATATTTAACTGACACCCTACCACAAAACAAGTAAAAGCAAGAATAACCCAAAATGTTAGACAATGTTTCAGACAACAGACTGGATTTCCAAAGTAAGTCAGTTGTTTACTTAGTTAAATTGTGCTAGAAATAAAATTTCCAGGGAAGTGACAAAATCATAGTTGTAAGACTCATCACTTAACAAGAACTCACTTCCGACTGCTGTATTTAATGCATGTTCAAGCACGTCAACAGCATCTTCTCTGTTCCTTGGTACTCTCTAACCCCTACTGCTCTAAACGCACATTATTTAAAAAAATAATGACAGCTCATCTGCCTCCATCTCACCCTATCACATGCCATCTTTACACAAACTCTCTCCATGTCCTGTTTTATGACAAGTCTTTTCTGGGATCTCACTCCCTCCATCTTGTCTGTCATCTCCATCTCCAACATCCTTTGCCCACTACAATAATAATCCACTCTCTCTCCTCAACCCTAGTCCAAACCATCTCCACCTTCACTGTCCCTCTGATCTGCTTTGTTCAAATCCTGTCCATCCTGGTCTCTACCAGAGAGAATCTCAGCATTTTCACCTCTTCACCTCCAGCTCAGCCTTTTGTCTGTTAGACAGAACCACTGTCTCTAAACCAATGTCCCCTCAGGTGGGTCACAAGAGTTTTTTTTTTGGGTTGTCTTGCATCATGTTTCCCAGCAGTTTATGAATAATATCTTCTTCTTCTTTTTCTTTCGGCTTTGTCCCTTTTTCAGGGGTTGCCACAGTGAATCACTGATTTCCATCTCTCCCTGTTCTCTGTATCTTCTCCTCTGACTCCAACTATCTCCATGTCCTCCCTCACTGCATCCATATATCTCCTCTTTGTATCCTACCTGGTAGCTCCATCTCTAACATTCTTCTACCAATGTATCCACTGTCCCTCCTCTGCACATGTCCAAACCATCTCAATCTGGCTTCTCTAGCTTTTTCTCCAAACCTTCCTGTCTGTGTTGTCCCTCTAATGACCTCATTCCTAATCCTGTCCATTCTTGTCACTCCTAAAGAGAATCTTAGCATCTTTAACTCTGCCACCTCCAGCTCCTCCTCCTGTCTTCTGCCTATTGCTACTGTCTCTAAACCATACATCATGGCTGGTCTCACCACTGTCCTGTAAACCTTTCCCTTCACCTTAGCTGACACTCTTCTGTCACAGATCACTCCTGACACTTTTCCCCAGCTGTTCCATCCTGCCTGTACTCTATTCTTCACCTCTCTTCCACAGTCTCCCCTCCTCTGAACAGTTGATCCTAAGTACCTAAACTCCTGCACCTTCACCACCTCTGCTCCTATTTCACTGCTCCTATTTCACTGTTCTCCCTTTCGTTTACACACATGTA